CTTTTCTTTTTTTTTTTTTGGCATGATTGACTGTACTTGGAGTTATATTCCAAGTTGCCTACGTATCCGGTTAAGGAATCAAGTCATAACGTAGTTCAAAACAAATTGAATTTGTTTGTTTTTGTTAAACAGTTTATTCTCGTGTTAAGGAGTCTTGTAGAAAGTTTATCCTCGTTTCTAGGAAATTGAAGAAAGTTTATCCTTATTTCTAGGAGGTTGTAGAAAGTTTATCCTCGTTTTCTGGAGATTGAAGAAAGTTTATTCTCGTTTCTAGGAGATTGCAGAAAGTTTATCCTCGTTTCCAGGAGATTGAAGAAAGTTTATCCTCGTTTCCAGGAGGTTGTAGAAAGTTTATCCTCGTTTCTAGGAGTGTTGTAGAAAGTTTATCCTCATTTCCAGGAGTGTGAAGAAAGTTTATCCTCGTTTTTAGGAGGCTAAAGAAAGTTTATCCTCGTTTCCAAGAGATTGTAGAAAGTTTATCCTCACTTCTAGGAGATTACAGGAAGTTTATCCTTGTTTTTAGGAGATTTTAGAAAGTTTATCCTCGTTTCTAAGAGATTTTAGAAAGTTTATCCTCATTTCTAGGAGGCCGAAAAAATTTTATCCTTATTTCCAAGAGTGTTGTAGGTATGATTGCCCCCATTGTTTGAAGTGTTGTATTTCTCGTCATCTGAGAAATCTTCAGTAGGCGGTCCATATATTTCCACTGGATACCATGTTCAATTCCATATCATGAGCGCGAGTGGAGAGTTCTTCAAAAGTATGGGGTCCGATCCTTTGTAGGATGTATTTCAAGCTCCATTGCATTCCTTGAATGCATATTTCTATGCCGAAAGCCTTGGAAAGACGGTCTTTGCAGTTGAGACTTAAACTTCTCCAGCGGTTGATGTAGTCAATTACTGGTTCATCTTTCCATTGGCGGCTGTTGATGAGTTCAGTCATGCTGACGGTTCTCTTTGTGTTGTAGAACCGATTCAAGAACTCGTACTTTAGTTGTTCCCAATTGTCGATGGAACCAACCTCTAAGTCGATGTACCAGTCGAAGGCGTTGCCGTTTAGTGACCGCACAAATTGTTTGACTAGGAGGTCCCATATGTTCCAGCATTGTTGCATTTCTCGACAAAGTGCACTATATGTTGCTTTGGGTTGCCTTTTCCATCAAATTGTTGAAACTTTGGTGGTTGATAGCCCTTTGGTATTTTGAGGGCATCAATCCTTGTAGTGTAAGGCTTGGCGTAAGTGTGCGTCGGCCTTGAACTCCCTTCGAATTCTATTTTGATTGCCCCATTGATGTATTTCTCAAGTTGGGATATATGAATGAAGGAGTTTGATGATCCTTGAAATTGATTTGGTTCCACCACCTTTTCTTTCCCATGACGTTGTTCCACAGATGTTGCTGCTTTATTTTGGACTGTTGGGGAAGATGGTTGCTTTTCGATGGCATGACTGGATTCTTCAGGCTTTTCCAACTTTGTGATAAGTTTTTCGATGAGGGTGTCTTGTTGTTGCATGTATGGAGACATTCCTTCAAGGATTTTTGCCAATGCTGCAAGTTGTTCTTCTATATTTAAAGCATTGATAGTCATCACCAGAGCAGAGCTTGATGCGGTTGAATGACTTGAAATTGACCGATGAGTAGGTGGCATGAAAGTGCCTTTGAAGCTTTGATCTTCCTCGCAGAGCAGACTTTGATCCGCGGTCTTTGGTTCCTCAATATTTGAAGCGTTGTTAATCATCACCGAAGCAGAGCTTGATGCAGTTAAATAACTTGCAATTTGATGAGGGGTGAACAGTGCAGCAATACTCTTGAAGTTGTCGTCTTCTTCATAGAGTGGACTTTGCTCTGTGATTTTTTGATGAGTGTCTTCAGAGAACAAAAATTTTCTTTTGGCCATACTTTTTGTTGTCATTCCAACATTTGTTTCAGCGCTTGATTTTTTTGATGCGGTGGATGCAGCGCTCCTTTGGCAGCAACGACGGCTTGAGCAGCAGCTTTCGATGCAACATTAGAAGTTTTGATCTTGAAGGAAGCCATTGGTTGTTGAAAGTTCTTCGGAAGGAGAGATGAAAGGTAGAAAGCTCCCACTAAGCGTGCCAAAAATTTGTGGACAAAAAATTGTGTTATTTTTAATAAACACAAAATTTGTATAAATTATATTTGATTTAGATTTAAAACGGGTCCTATTCTCTAAATGAGTCCGTTAATTCTCCTTCCGGGTCGATTTGTTTTCCAACTTGGTTTTCGATGGCTTCTTTGGTGCGAAGAGATTTGTTCTTCGGTTTTTTTGCCGGACTTTGAAGGGCTTTGGTCTCCGTGCAGACGATTTGATCATCATCTTTGGATTTGATGTCCTCTTTGGACGATCCAAGGCTTTGATGTTTGATTTAGCTTTTCTGTCTTTTGGAGAGCTTCGGTCTCCATGCGGGCGATTTGATCCTCAGTTTTGGATTTGATGTCTTCTTTGGACAATCCGCGGCTTTGATATTTGGTTTGTCTTTTCCACCTTTTGGAGAGCTTCGGTCTCCGTAGGGGGTGATTTGATCTCGGCTTTGGATTTGATGTCTTCTTTAGACGATCCACAGATTTTATCTTTGCTTTGTCTTTGCCACTTTTGGAGAGCTTTGGTCTCCGTGTGGACAATTTGATCATCGTCTTTGGATTTGTTGTCTTCTTTAGACAATCCGCGGCTTTGATCATGGAGGAGATGAATTTGGTATTCCATAACACTTTTGGTGGCGTGTCCCTTTTACTTTTGGATCGAAGAGAGCCGAGTTGATGCTTTGTTAAAGAACGTGATGAACACCTTGAAGCTTTGAAAGGAACTTTGGGGACCTTCCCTTGGCTTTGATGAATTCCTCAACGGCTTTGGGGGCTTTGATCTTTAAGGAGGTGGATTTGGTGCCCCATAACACTTTTAGCGGCGTGTTCCTTTGACTTTTGGACCCAATAGGGCCTAGTTGATGCTTTGATGAAGAACGCGATGAACACCTTGAAGCTTTGGGATGAACTTTGAATGCTTTTTCTTGGCTTTGATGGATTCTTCAACGGCTTTTGGAGCTTTGATCCTTGAGGAGGTGGATTTGGTGCTCCATAACACTTTTGGCGACGTGTCCCTTTGACTTTTGGATCGAAGAGGGCCGAGTTCATGCTTTGTTGAAGAACGCGATGAACATCTTGAAGTTTTGAGAGGAACTTTGGAGACCTTCCCTTGACTTGATGAATTCCTCAACGGCTTTGAAAGCTTTGATCATTCCTCCAGCTCGAACATACGACGAAGAACGTTAACTTCATCAATTCGTTAACCAATATTGGATCATTTGTCCAAATCAGTGACTTTCGATGAAGAACGCTTTGAAGGATACGAAGAACATGAAGAACAATACAGAGAAAGTCTAAAAACTTACCCTTTTGTTTGAATCCTCGATGTAACTTCGGTGTCTCAAATGAACTGGCCATGGATCCTATTTATAAGGGAGGGGTGACCTCGGGTTCCTTTTTTAATGATGCTACGTGGCCCGTTCTGATTGACCAACAGAAATATTTTATAATTGTTGTTGTAGATTTCCACCAATAAAAAGTAAAATCCGAAAAAAGAATTATTTTCGAATTTGATTAAAAAGATGTCTGAAATTGAGAATCCCTAGACACCGTATGATACATAAGTAAATTGAAAAGAACACTAAAGATTAGAAAAGTAAAAGAATGTCCCCAACATAAATTTCACTGAATTTGATGTCGATTGAAAATGTCTTTCCCAGGTCGTAAAAAGGCCTACTTAAACACCTATGTCAACCGCCTTAATGTCGTTATCAGATCGTGCCCCCACAACCGCTTGCCGGTTGTAACTTCTTCCAACCGCTCTAAAATTGCTATTCAACCGCCCCCATTTAACCAACCGCCTGAACATCTACCATCTCATCTTCCTTTGCTCGACTTTCCCTTGTCCGACCTCCATATCAACCAACCTAAACGCCCACCGTCTTCTTTTCTTTCGCCCGACTTCCCCTTGTCCGACCTCCATATCAACCGACCTAAACACCCACCATCTCCTTTTCTTTCACCCGACTTCCCCTTGGTCGACCTCCGTATCAACCGACCGCCTGATTTGGATCCTCTCGAAGACGCCCATTTCTTGATAACGCCTTAATTTTTGGGCCTACACACCAGCCCATTAAAAACCCTAATACAAGTGACAGGCCCATAAACCAATCCCTGGCTTTTTTGCAAATCCATTCTCGAAAACTCTATACATTGATTTTCCTTACTCAACAATAATCTTTCATTTTTCATCCGATGTTGTTTTCCATTCTTGACGGATTTGATTGTGCACCTTCCTTTCTCGCCAAGATCTTTATATCATTACCTTTTTTCGGAAGATATTAATTTATATACTTCTTTTATTAACAAGATTAATTTATTTTGTTGCCAAATTTATTATGGCTCTATTTATGCACGTAATATTTGTACGATATCTTTCATCTTAAGCAAATTTTTGCATTAATGGTTGATATTTATTGTACAAAAATTAATATATGTGCATAATTAAATACCATATATTTATTTTAGTGGAATTTTATTTTCTTCCAAAAAATATAATATTTAATTTAATTTAGACATATTTTTATTGTCTAAAGTAGAATTAAAAAAATTGTCATACGATAAAATTTATTAATGTACATAAACTGTGGGTAAGCACACTAGTTATAACATATAATCAAACAAAATAAACATAATATAATTTTATATAATATTTAATCAGACAAATTAAACATTATATTAATTAATCCATTAATTATATAATTCATTAAAATAATTTAAATATTATAATACAATTCTCTATATATGTATATATATTAATTCTCTGAATAACTAATTCGAATTTTTAATTAAAAGAAAAAACAATAGTGGAGACGCACACGCGGCTTGGCAAGTGGAGGAAAAGATAAATAAATAAATAGCAATGGCCGACGAGTTGGACATCTCTCTATTGCAAATTCTTCTTATTCGTCGTCTTCTTCTTCTTCTTCTTTCCTCTTTCCCTTTTGGTTTCAATAAATACATAACCCTTTCTTCTCTTCTCTTATCTTATACCACCACCACTTCAATCTCTCTCTCTCTCTCAGTTTCAATTTCATATTCACCAATCTCAAATAATCTCAGATCTCATGGTAAGTCCACTCCTCCTACGAACATATATTCAACACAACACTTAATTATATATATAGATAGATAGATAGATAATTAAAAAGGAAGAACAAGGTTAATATATTTATAAGAATTGCGTGCAGGAGAACGATCACAGTGAGAATTACGAGGAGGAGTACATAGTGAATTCAAGAGGCGTGAAGCTCTTCACGTGCCGGTGGTCGCCGGCGAGCGGCGAGGCGAAAGCATTGGTGTTCTTATGCCATGGCTATGCTATGGAGTGCAGCATCTCTATGAGGGGATGCGCTAATAGGCTCGTCAAGGCCGGCTATGAGGTCCATGGCATAGACTGTGAGGGCCACGGCAAGTCCCAGGGCCTCCTTGGATTAATCTCTGATTTTGATCATCTTGTCGATGATCTTTCCGACCACTTCACCAATATTTCCGGTAACAATAATTAATTACTTACTATTTACATATAATAAATATCTTCTTTTTTTTTTTTAATTTTACTTTTTGTGAAAAATAAAAATATATATATATATATAGTTCTTAGCTGGCTTCGGTTCATCGGAAAATTACGTCGTCTTTATGTATTTAGGAATTCTTTTAATTGCTTTGACTGGTCTGCGGTTGGACTTTAATTTTGTTAATTAATTAATTAGTTAGTTAAAATAATAGCAAGTGGAAAGAGATTAACGAATCCCTGAATTGATGGTGCCTTCCATGTGGATGCGGGTAGGGATTAATAATAAGCCAATCTCATCGCACTTTCTTTATATGATAATTATTATTATTATTATTATTATTATTATTATTATTATTATTATTATTATTATTGAGTTTATTATTTATTAAAAATGCAGAGAAAAGAGAAAATAGAAATAAAATGAGAATATTAATGGGAGAGTCGATGGGCGGAGCGACGATTCTCCGCCTCCACCGCAAGAAGCCCGAATATTGGGACGGTGCCGTACTGATCGCTCCCATGTGTAAGGTCAGATTTCAATTTATTTTATTTATATTTTAATTTTCAATTACTATATAATAATAATAATAATAATAATAATTGCAGATTGCCGATGAAGTGAAACCAAGCCCATTGGTTATAAGAGTGTTGACTGTGCTGTCCGGAATTATACCTACGTGGAAAATTACTCCAACTCCGGACATTATTGACATTGCCTTTCGAGACCCACAAGTGAGAAAAGAGGTAGCAATTAATTAGTCAAAGAATAATAAGGGAATTATTATTATTATTATTATTATTTTGAATTTGTCATAAGATATAAAAAATACTCAATTATTATTTTTATAAATAATGTTAATTAATAATACTAATAACAGGTTAGATCGAATCCGTACACGTACAAGGGGCGGCCACGTCTGCAGACAGGGTACCAGCTGCTAATGGTCAGCACGGAATTGGAAGGCCGCCTTGACGAGGTCGGTCAGTCAGTCACTTGAAATTTATGTATCAATCAATCAATCAATCCTGTCCGTCCATTATATATTACATTCTCCATCCATATCCGTCGGACAGGTGGCGTTGCCGTTCATAGTCCTCCACGGAGAAGACGACAAAGTGACGGACCCGTCGGTGAGCAAACTGCTGTACGAGTCAGCACGCGCCGCCGACAAGACGATGAAGCTGTATCCGGGAATGTGGCATTCCCTCTCGTACGGAGAGCTGCCGGAAAACCTGGACCTGGTGTTCGCCGACGTCGTGGCGTGGCTGGACCACAGATTCCTCGCTAAGCTCGAACAACAGCAGAAGCTCGCTAATGATCACAATGCACTTGACTCTCACCTCACCAAATACTAATACAAATACTATATTCATTTTCATTTTTATAGTTTGTGTGTGAATAAGCCAACTTTTTTTTTTTTTTTTTTGTTTTTTTTTTAAATAATGCTTATGATGAAAGTTTAAAGGCGTGAAATTTAAAAATTTTGTGTATTTCTTGATTTTCACTTTTTTATTTTTATTTTGCAGTCATATTCAATAGTTACGAAAATATTAAATATGCCTCTTTCATCTTTTTTATATTTTTCTTTCATCTTTGCAAGTATAATGAATAAATTATAAAATAAAATCAATACTCGCTCGGTCAACTTGTTAAATATATATTTTGTTATTTTTTATTTCAAAACAAAATTACTTATTTCTTTTTTGGTAGTTTAAATTGAAAAATAAAAATATTTTATTATGCTTATAAACTATGTTTAGTTATTTACTAAAGTAAAAGATTAATAATTGACGGTATAAGCAGATAAAAATAAATACACTAATCATGACCAGGTAATAGTAGAAACGGCCATGCTTTGAGATGACGTTTGTGTGTTGAAAGTAACAAATTATTAGAATATAAAATCAATTAAATAATTTTAGACGTTTATTAAGGTCAACGATCAATACCATAATTTAAACAAATATATATATATATATATCTCATTAAACACACATGTTTGGTTAACATCTTGCTTGATTATTACTTTAACTTTAAAAATTCACTTAACTAACGGTACATCAACACGGGGGGCTTGACATATGACTTTTATTTTGCATTTTATATTTGAGTTTTAGTTTTCATTTGATTTTTTTATTTTAATAATAGCTGTGATGTAGTGTTTTTTAGAATAAATAATATATTTTAATAAAAAAATATTGGATAAATTAATTAAAATAATTGATAAAATTTAATTTATGTGTTTTTTAGAATAAATAATATATTTTAATAAAAAAATATTGGATAAATTAATTAAAATAATTGATAAAATTTAATTTATGAAAAAAAAATATTAAATTTGAAATTCTCAAATTTGATTATTTAATGAGTAAAAATGTATCAGACTGAATAATTAATTATTATGTTTCAATAACTTGTGCTTATGAAATATATTTTGTGGGTTTAGTTATTGATTTGAGCTAATTAAATTTAATGTTAAAAAATTATTCTATAATTGTATTTAAGTGTGTTTCCGTAAAAAAAAAAAATAAATAAATAAATAAATAAATAAATAAAAATTTCCAATTTCATTAAAATTTGTAGATACGTAAATGATTTACTTAACACGACTAAAGATGTTAGTATGATTAATAAGATGAAACGCACGTTGAGCTAAACTTTCAACATGAAAAATATGAGAATAGCCGGTATTATTTTTGGAATGAGAATTCTAAGATGAGATAAAGGTATTATTCTAACTTAATCCCCACTATGTTGAAAAGATAATGAGAAAATTCAAATGTTTTTAGAACACTCTTACAAAAACTCTAATGGATGACCTTTTAGCTTAAGAAAGATGTGACAAAATAAGTGAAAGCTTGATTTACTTAACAAATTGTACAATATCCGACTTAACTTGTCCAATAAATAAGCTAAGCTGTTACACTATAGCAATCTAAGTCACGAACACTAGAATGTACTAAGAAGAGTCTTGAGTTACTTTAAATTTACTCTTGACTTTAGTATATACTGCATAAGAATTCCTTCAATATTTAAGGCTATTATAATGCAAATTCTATATCTGACACGAAAGATTTACTATTTACAGGTGGATATGTATCAACTATTGAAGGTAGAGCTGTTCCTGAAAGTTCACAAAATAGACGTATATTGCATGGTCAATTATGGAAATAGAGTTCATCGCTTTATATAATCCAGTGAAGAAGTCGAATGGTTTAGAAACTTCCTAGATAACATTTCATATTATACTAACCAGTAACTTTAGTGATAATTCACTGTGAGAGCCAAAATTATGATTAAAAAAAATGCACTAAAAATAAAATTACAATGATAAATCTTGACATATCCGATGTATACATAAGGCTATAAGATATTTTATCACCATTAGAGTTTTACTACTGATTATATGAAGCGAATAGAAAATCTGACGAATCTGCTAACCAAAGAGTTATATCGAAATCAAATGTATAAATTGTTAAATGAAATGGATCTGAAATCAACATAATAGAGAGGATTACATTTGTAACCCAACCAAATCATTTGATGATCTCAAACATTGGTTCAATGAGAAAACCATGTTGTGAAAGTTCAATAGTAATATTCGAATACCATTTTTTACATAGAAATAATTATATTTTTGTGCAAAAGTGGCGAGGTTGAGTTAATAACTCTTAATAATCCTTACCGTAAGAGGTTAATATTTTTAAGATAAGATTATATATGTTAGTGTGAAGCGTGAGATATTTCAAATAAAATACTTATGGATTCATAGACGTGATCTATGACCAAAATATATATATTTTTTTAAAAAAATATAAGAACAAAATGAAGTTAAGATAGCGACACATCAATGTTATTTAGTAAATGTACGCTAAGGTAGAACAATATAATGCATTATGTCAACTAAACCACCAACATATTTTGTAATATTGACTATGGAAAACTTCAAAGTCACGAGCTACTTGTCTTAATGTATTAATGTCTCTCTTGAATGAGTTGTGAATTTGCGATGATTTTGGGCAATTTTCACTAACGTGGAAAGTTGTTGGCAGGATCAGATGCCCCCAACCCAATTGTTGATGGACTAGCCACGACTCAAAACCATTTAAGTACATTAGTTTGTTTAAAGGTTGTGAGTCGTTAATAATTAGATTAGATGTATGACCTAAACTCGACCTTTCTTGGTCTATATACCTTGTAGTCATCTTGATGAAATATTCATTCCATTCATTCCAAAAATTAACTGCTATTCATTCCATTCAATTCAAAGAATTAACTACATCTATTGAATAAGTTTACTTCGTTTTGGAGAGAGACCGACCATCATTGGAGCGATTCTAATAAAATTGAAGGTTATTATTTGAACCTTCAGATGCAGCTTATATGAGAGATGAAAGAATCATTCACAAACCTCAAATAATTCATATGGATTCATGAAAGTGTATGCTCGAGAGGAGTATTCATCAATTGAATCCATAATTATCCAACATGTTCATTTTTATTTGATTTCACATCCTTAATTCTATGTTTTCAATTGAATTAAAAGTCATGAAATTGATCTTATTAATGTCAGTTGTTGAGATCGATTATTAGGTTAGTAGAAATGCATCAACCGGAATAATTAATTGATATGTTTCAATTAATTGTGCTTATAGAATATATTTTCTGGATTTAGTTATTGATTTGGGTTAAGTTAATTGGATGTTGAAAAATTATTCTACATGTGTTTAAATACCATTGTATCTAATAAATGCGGTACAATAGTGTGGTCAATGTATATCAATTTTGGTGAGCCATACGTGCGCGCACACCGTCTAACCTCCTGGACCTATTATAGATTAGGAGTCGAGGATCATGGGTCATGGGATTGGATAATTGCTTGACTTTTTAAAGCCTAATTTTGCTCTAAAGCTCAATTCTCATCTCAAACAATTTATTAAATAGTATTGAGATAGGCCCGAAACAAAATCCACAATAAGTCTGCACATAAATAAATCTATGAGTAGGTAAGTCTATTCATTACACGGACAATGAAAGTTTATCGGATAAATAAATTGGGGAAAGTTTATTTGTTGAATAGACAAAAAAAAATGTCAATGAATAAACAAAAAAAACTTATTTATTTTAATTATAGAATTATGACTATAATTACGATTGATATTTATGGTCGTGATTGAAATTTGTTTGTTCCCCCCGAGTGGAGTGCCTGTAAAAGAGTTATTTTTTTATTGAAAAAAACACCAACACTATTTGTTTTCTCTAGCCTCTACGGTCTCATTTTTTAAAATTTTCTAACAGAGTTTAGTTTCTTTTTCATCTTAATTGGCCAGGTGACAGTCTTTTCATGGATGAATTTTTTTTAATTTTTTCATTAAAATATTGGCTATCGGAAACATATAGACGTGTATCTAATTTGTAGAGAAATAACATTTCTTGATCGATTTTCATTGTCACTTCATATTTATTTATTTTCACATTACATTTAATTTGTAACAAAATTGTGAGAATACCATATTTTATTATTTTATTATTTAGTAAATCACTATTAACACCAAAAAATATAAACAAGTAACTCCTAAACTGCACATATTAAAATTCTTTTAAATTGCTCTTATTTTGAAAAAAAAAAAAAAAAAAGTTTTTATTTTATATTTTAAAATAAAATATGAGTATTATATATTTTTTTAGAAAATATTATATTAAAATATATTTGAAAAAAATAAACTGAACAAATCTCATTAATTGTGTTTAAACTTCTAATTTATTTAAAAAGTACTCCCTCCGTCCCAATAAAATAATCTTGTTTACCATTTTTGTCCGTTTCAAAACAATAGTCTCATTTCCATAAATAATCATATCATTATAAAACTACCCTTACCTCCGTCCCAATAAAATAGTCTTGTTTACCATTTTTGTCCGTCTCAAAATATTAGTCTCATTTCCATAAATAATCATGTCATTATAAAACTACCATTACTTTTTCATTATTATTACACAATTGTCACTATTTTTTACACTAATACATTCACAAGGACAAAAAAGTTTTTTATCCGTACTTTTTACCTACTATCAATATAATATCAGTATTCCTTAAATTCCGTGTCAAATACAACCTAAACTATAGTTTTAGGCCAGATGAAGTATATACTCCCTTATTTTCAAAATCATTTGACATTTTGTTATTTTAGCTTGTCTAACCTTATTTGATACATTTTTATTTTTAAAAAATTATGTTTATATAAAATATATTAAACAGATATAAATTAATTTAATTAATTTTAATAACGTCATACATAATGTATAACTAACCCAAAATCTATCTATTTCATCTCTCATTTGTAAACAAATATTTTATATACTCTCTCCGTCCCGAAATTAACTATTTATTTACTTTTTGCATATAGTTTTAGAAATATCAGTGTTATATTGGGATATAGTAGGAATAAAGTAGAAATGACTAAAATAACCTTATTAGTATGTGTGATATAAA